TCTTTAGCCGTCCTGCGTTCCTATGAACTACACAATCAAGGGATGGCAGCGTGCCACTGCAAGATACTAGTTATGTAGTAAAGTTCAAATCCTCATTAATGGAATTCAGATGGTTTAGCAACTGCTTTATAATCACAAATGTTTCATCTACGTAGCGCCACCACATAATTGACGAACTGCTGGTTTGTCAGCACCTTCCTCTCAAAGTCTTTCATATACATATTTGCCAACACGGGGGATAATGGCGACTAGATGAGAATACCCTATTCCTGAGCGTACAGTCTTGACTGGAACGTGAAATATGACATACTAAGGCATACTTTTATTCCTTCGATTATCTGGTCTACTGTGAAGTTCGTTCGCTTCTCTAAGCTATTGTCCTCTGTCAGACAGTGCTGTCCTAGCTCCAATGCGTCATTTTTGGACACGTTAGTGAATATGGAAACTAACCAATATTTCGTCGGACGCGATCGTCACACCTACCACCTTTCGCGGGAACTCATGAGACTCGCTTGTTAACTCTATCTGATGAGATGTAATAACATGGAAACACGTCATAGGAGTGCAGTGTTTTCGGGTGGGCAACACCCAATTTCTAGTTGCATCAGCTACTTTCCTCGTGATCGAAAGACCAAGGTTCACTTCAATGGGAATCGTGGTCGGGCTAGAAACACCCAATTTCTATTTATCATAAGAGTTTCGTTCGAACGTATTTGTTCTCCCTCTCAGAGGTGGCAACAAACCCGCCAAACACCTGGCTATTTCGTGCGTCGGAGAAGTGATACCATCTATAAAGGGTTGAATGGGCATCTGGGGCTTATGTAGCTTCTACAGCTCATATATCGTGGGTGGAATCGTTGCCTCCGGGTACATATTATACCATCTCCCTGGGTAGTTGCTGATCTCTTTTCGCAATTATGTGTGGTCCTGTTGCTAAATTTTGTTCCGTTTTCCCTCATAGTTAGACTTGTTCATCATCAATTTTGTCGGTTTTGGCGATGACGATGGTGGGATCTTCTCTTAAGGCCTTTAATGCGGTACGCTTCATTGTCGTAAAATTTGACTCCCCAGGCCTCTGATATCTGACGATATCTGCCACTTGTGCACGAATATTCTCAGCTGTTGAAACTGTTAATTTCGTCACCACGGTCTCTATGCTAGGAATAATTTCTGCAGTTAGTTCAGATTTCTATCTATCATGCATCCTGAACAAACTGATAGCCCCCTGTATGCTGCACAGAGTCTACCCATACTGGGGTACGAGTGGATACCGTCTACCTGGCTTTCTCAAAGGCATTTGGCTGTGGGCCATCGCATTCTACTAGCATCAGAATTCTAAAATCTGTGACCCCCTTCTGTGTTGCATATACGTTACTGTGGGTAAGGCTTACTAGCATCCCGACTCAGTCGAAACCCAGTGCGACATACTCCGACGCTCTTTGTGACACCCAATAAACATGTGACATGAATGCTGGCATTTCGATCAGACTTGTTCGGTGCACAAATCCAGTTTTGATTTTGTGCCTGCTTTCCACACTTTCAGTTTTCTGGTCGTCGTAATCTTTTGTCATGGTATCGTCAGAAAATAATTTAAATGCTTTCAAACGTGTCTGTTGAAACCTATTCCCTTACGGCCATGATTTCTGTCTGACACTATCTCGTTTCCGACCTTTCCTGACAGATTTTCGATGCTGTGACCATATATTTTTCCACGAATATCACGATTATCATCATCTTTCTACTGTGATTCATTAGCACTTACCTCACTGAGGACGTCAGATTCTTCATTACTGGTTTCATAGTCACTTTCATAGCTCAAATGATCAACATTGTCCTCCACATTTTCACTATCGGTGTCACTTTGATCGCCTAACAAAGACTGCGGAACATCATCGGTGGAAAATCCCTAGCGTGTCGCTATTTTGTTATGCTTCTGTCAACGGACCTTGAGATAAAAGAATAATACTTTCATTACATTGAGGGTACTATAGGGTCAATTTGACCCGAAGCGAAAGTAAACCTGTATACTAAATAACCGGAGATTTTTTGTTACCCCCGGGACATGTGTCATGTACATAGGAAGGCAAGGTCACTAATCGAGGTAGTTCCGAAAATGCTCTTATGAGAGCTGGAGTCACACAGACCCAATGGCACAAGAATAGGGTTAAGCTCACTACAAACATGCCACTGTCTCATGCGGTAGCGTTTCGAGAAAAGGGAGGTATCCATCTACCCCGGACCTGAAACGGGGAATAATGAGGATAAGCATAGTAGATCACCGACTAGTACCCCGTAGGTTATTAGCGACAGTGAAGTCATACACGGCTTGTACTTCGGCGCGACTCGAGGAACAATGGATATATGCGCAGTTTAGAACGATGAAGACTCGCGTAGGATGCAACATGGTGTTGAAAATTTTTACTATCCTCTGGCGATTAACGCACTAAAACGCTTTGGTTACCAGTAGTACATCGCGTCCCAATATGAGTCAAGTGAATTCTAAGCATTTTCTTTTCTTACTCGTAATACACCATTGTTACATAGTAACGTATCAGATAAAAGTGGGTGACCTTTAGATATGCTGAACATAGCTGTGGATCGCGGAGTTTCGAAAAGTTGAGGGTGTTCAGACATCCCATTTTTTCACCCTACCTGGATTGCTGCGTTCTTACTTGCCCACCTTGATTCGTTTAGAATATGTTGACCCTAGTACCAACAAGCCATTGGACAAGTTCCTCAAGTATCAGAAAAACAAAGGCATCAACAGTACGCCAGTTCCTCCCACCAAGGCGTCGCTACCATACGAACAACAGCGGTCGAGTATGAGCAATAGACTCTACGATGTCACCTGCACCTAAGCTGTTCCGAACTAGTTACCTGTGGAGAACAAGTTAGATACCCAAGCAAATCAATCCTGTGTCCCGCTTTTTTGCGGCTCAGCTGTTCAATACCAAATTTATTGTTACGATTGAGGGAACGCCACTGTCACAGTTGCGTAGATGCCTGATAAGGTTGTCACTGGCACGGTTGGAGCACGCCTACGGTAACGGATAGGAACACTGTCCAACCGAACCGATTTGCGCTGACCTGATGGCGTTAGTTTAGCCCGAGGTACGCACTGGTGAGACAGAAATTGAGCGAGCGTGAGAACCATCCTAGCCGCACGTATTCGGGTAGACGCTGAGCCCTCGGAACGGACGCACACGAGATGGGGTTACGGTAGACGCGCGCTATTGACTTAGACGCGAACGCTGCCCGGCTTTCAACGCACACAAAATCACATGACCGACTGACTCCCAACTAAGGCGAAGAGGAAGCAAGACAGGTGGTCCTCTGAAGGCTCTTTTACGACCAACAAAGAGCGAATCACAGCCAACGCAATGGATCATTAAGTTATGGAATATTGCTATCATGACGGGGTGGTAGTTTGTAAAGAACATTGTCAACAGGTGCGCAGTTGGGCCGCGTCTCGGAGTGGCTGAACACTGCTACGTTGTGGGGAGGAATTGGACCCCGCTTTCCCCAGCCATTATGCCGGAGTTTCTGGCGCGTTTTTGCGGGGACGTTTGACGGGCCCACAACCTTTATAAATAAAAGACAATTGGGAAATCCTCTTATTTTTCGCCCCGCTAACTCACCGAAATCCTGAGACCACCCGGTGGTACAGAATTTCTTAGGATTCAGATTATGACAAATGTTCGGCTGTCGCATAAAATTAGCTTCCGTAAGGTGTAGAGACGCTACGCACTGACAGGGAGACGTGCATCTAGCTTGCCAGCGTGTGTGACGATCCATGCTATATCTTTTGCTAATCCACTTTGCAGACAACTTTCACTCTCTTCTTACCCCTCCGAATTGTGCCCCAACAAGAATGAGCCTTTCCTTAGCTCAATGTTTTCTATCCTTTGGCAACTTTCCCCATTAACAAACTAAAAGAAAGGCATCAGCAGTACGCCAGTAGGCAGTACCGACGCTTCGCTGCCGCGCAACCACAACCAGTCGCGCATGGGATAAAGCTACTGCGCGAATCGCCCGGTCCCAAACCCGAGCGGGCCGACCATTTCTTCCACTACTGGCGACTGGTAAAAAGCAATGTTATGACGGACTATACCGACAATAATAGGCCATTTTTAATGCCAATGATGCGTGTGAATTTGTTATCCGAAAGAGTTGACTCCAAATCTTCTACTCATCGCTGATGCTCCAAATATGTAGCATGCTGTTTATTACACGAGAACCTCACACAGCACTACAAGGTGATCTAAATTGAGCCTACACGTGGCCCGCTGAGAACACAATCCGGTTCGACCTGGGCGACTGCATAGTTCTGAGCATGCGCTATCAAGTACTCACGACTAACTACAGAGGCGGCAAATTATGCAGCGCGCTTCACACGAGAGATCCCGTGGTGTTCGTACGAGATGGCTTGGACTGTTTGAGACAGTCACAAAGAGCATACAAGCCAGTAACTCAGCACTTCGGCCTCTTCAGCTGATGATTCGAAAAATTCGACGCCTTAATTTTTTCGCACATGCTTGGTGCCTCCTTGGGGACGCAGGTGGGATGCACTATACAAGCCTGTCAAAAGCAGCTTGTCACGCGCTCGAGACCACACGATGGAGGGCGACAAAGAACATGAATGGCTTGTTCCACATTCCCTGCAAGTGTACAGCGGACGTTATCGGCGTCTATGGGACCATCTTACGATGATGAATCAGGTCCTGATAAGCCCCAGCCACTCTTTCCATCGTTCATATAAACTCGGCACAAAGTTATTTCTGATGGGTCATCATTTTTAGCTAGCTTGCCAGAGCCAGCTACAAATCTAAACCACGAAACACATTGAAATCGACCGATGGAGTCGGTGGGCATCGGCGGAAGCTTGTAGTACTGAATTAACCAATAAAGTCTCGTTTCCGTTTTCTGATCCGACTGCGGCGGTTTACTTCGTTGGGGCAGCTGTTAACGGAGGCAGACGATGTAAATCTCTGTATAAAAAGGAGGAACCCCATTAACAAAAGCTGCCTCCAGGACATATATCTGCCCTTCTTAAACACCATAACAGCATACATGTTACCACCTCATATGTTGAAAGGACTCCTCTATCTTTCCCTATGAAGTGCCATAATTTGTGAAAAAGCTGCATGTCTGTCGTTCTTTTCCTATGTGGGAACAGTCTCTCGCACCGTAGAGAAACAAAAGATTTCTTCCTTTCGGATGTAGACGAGTTTTCTCTTCTTCCGAGTGTCACGGTCCCAGAACTGCCTCCCTTGTACTACCCTTTCGGTGTCGGTGTCAGTTAACTGACTGAGCTAAACCGCTGGGGTACGTCGTCAATCACGTTCTCCTTGTTATCACTTGATGTCTTAACTTTGGTCTCATCCCCATGGCACGATATCTTGCTCTCCTGCATTCGTCACTTCTACATGCATGCAGCTAACCGCCATTCGGAAACGTGACGGTACTGGTGGAAGTTGCCTCGTAACGCCTGTTTTACCTATTTCCGATATTCCCCTGGCAATGGTGCTTACCTTCGCAACTGTTCTTCACCAGACTTTTAAGCCTTTCTATTTGAGATGTAGACTAACTTCCCGATTTAGTTGTAACTTTTTTACATGTTGTTTACTTAATCTCTCTTACCGACTCAGCTCGTTCGACAAGCTGCCCGTAACGGCTTCAGTTGTCAAGGGTATTGAATCTCAATTGGGTATCATTTCATGGTATAAGCAACACAAAGACAGATATGTGCTTACTTTATCGACGAAAAGACTACTCTTTCTGTTTGACCAACCCAACACCAATTGCTCCTCTCAAGATGTTTGCTCTCTAAGCTTTTTCGATTTTCTTTTTCCCCATCTCATGCTTGCCCCAACTCTTCAGGTCAAGTCTTTCGCCGCCTTAAAAAAGCTCAAGATGCTGGCTCATTCGTCAAAAGCCCTGACCTTTGCCACTCTAATATTCGGTAAGCGCATCACGTTTTTGCACTTTTATTGGTGCAAGAGCAATCGGCCATTGTGCTCTCATCGTGCTTATTGCATAGCCGATAACCGAATGAACTAAGCGGCTGCCTTGTACTCCGAAAGTCAACGGTTCTAATCCATGTGGGTACATGCAATATAACGGTACACCCAACCCAAGCTCGATTTGTGGTGGTCCAAGCGTTAGTGCAAAGTGCCGGTTTGCTGCTGATGTCTCTTTAAAGTTTCCTAGATTGTTGATTCCTCCGTTTTCTCGCTCTTAAATAGATTTTCCCATCTTATTTTCCGCGCTTATTCACTGTATCCACAACTTATTCGTATGTAGAGCGCAGTGGTCCGTGTGGAGGCTGTAGTAGGTCCAGTTAGCTGAAAAGGTGGAAGAATGTTAGCTGTCGGGTTGAAATGTGACCATCATCATTCTTCATTATACACGTTAGCCAAAGGTGGAAAACACCTCACCTACTCTGCCACGACAGCACAGCAACCGAGCTGTGAAAGAGCGGGAACACGGCAAGCGTCCGGAAGAGTATATTCGTAGCCAGTGCAACGACTACAAACAGGCAACCAAATACACCGCTACATGTATGGAAGATGCACTGTTAACCAAGGGTCCTTTATTTCCTGGATCTGCCCTCCGCTGTCTGTCATTATTTTGTTTACATATCATGTCAATATTCACCTCAAAAAAGCATCAGCGCTACGTGAGTACGCAGTACCGGCGCTTTGCCGCCTCGCAACCACCGCCGGTCGCAGGTGGGCTAGGGATACTGCGAGTGTCACCCTGCCTCTATGCAGACTCGAACCGGCGCCATCAGATTACGAGACAAGCACATTACTATTAAGCTATGGGCCGGATGTTCACTTCATCTGGGGTACAATCAGTTTCGACTATGATTTCTTTGATTTTGTATACACGCGCTACCTATGCATTTAACAAGCCTATATCCGTTTTCGAGCGTCCGTTTTAATACCATTTTATCCAGATACATGTTCTCCGGTCCACATCTGATATGCTTCCTTTGCATTTAACTTCAACTGTGCGAGTAGAGGAACGGTAGTCGTCGGTTGGAAGCTGTGCCACAACTGTTATTAATGTTAATTTTGTTTTTTTTTCTGCTTGTGTTCCATGCTTTGTGTTAGTCACCGGGCTAGTATTTGCTGTCCTGTTAGGATCTCATGGATTTCGACTGTGGTAAAATACAGCCGGATCGACGACTAATCAAAGTAGCTACTTCAGTGAACTGCAGTCCAAACGTACCATGTGACTTCTGTTTCTGGGGTCTAGCATCCATCTTGCTTGTAATGCACTAACCGCTAACCCATTCGTTCTCCAACCAGTCAACGGAGTTAGCGGAATGTGCTTGTACACATTTAGTCGGAACTCCTATTTGTCCATCAAAGAGATATCTGAGGTGTTTCACACATATCGAGTTGACTCAATGCGTTTTACAACCTGGCACTGTCGATCTTTCTGTCTTGTATATTTGTTATGAATCTGAAACCTCTCATTTCTTGCTACGGTCACATTCTTGTTTTTATAGGCTCCTTTGTTGCCGGTTTGGACGCCGGTCTAGTGTACAACTCTTGGCCGAAAATGGCTGATCGATGGATTCCTACTGACTTGATCGCTCCACAATATGGTTCTGTGATGAGCAATCTGTTGAATAATCCCACGAGTGCGCAGTTCTCTCATCGGTTGTTGGCCTACTGCACTGTGCTCACTGTCACCGCCCTTTGGGCCACTGTGATGCGTGCACGCATTGCGCAAACGGGCCCACGTATTCGTTTGGCTGCTCATCTGGCACTTGCTTCTGCTTGGGGTCAGAGTGTACTGGGGATCCTCACACTGCTCAACTATGTCCCGGTTTCGTTGGGTGTAATGCACCAAGGCGGAAGTTTAGTACTGCTGTCTGCTTTGTTGTGGTTCACTCACTGTCTGCGCGCCGTGCCCAAGTGAATGCACATTCTTATGGATGATCCATCATGTTTCAAAATTTTTCAGCCGCTTTTTCTCTCCACCTACAACATTTTGCGTACTATATATGTACAGCTTATGTATACACCCGTTTCTCTGAACACTGGTTTTCTCTACATCTTAGTGGCGCTGGTGATGTGAACAGTAACCACACATTTTGTTTTGTCACGCAGTTTCTGAATTACTCGCCGAGTAGGCACCACGAACCTCATACTTACGCGATGGGGATTGCCCCCGTCACCCTGGCGCTTATTATCCCTTTGTAGGGGGTCTCATACTGGATCTCATCAATGCCGCACAATCTTGCCCGCCACGACGTAGTCTAGCCGTCAGTGTCCCTATCTTATTGGGTTCTTTGTCTGCAATTGTAGACTCCTCATCCGATTATTCTTCTGACATTTCACTCTCCTTTATGTGAGCTTTCTGTACGTTCTTAAGTTACTCCTGCACAACTGAGCTAAACACCTGCTTCATATTGGGAAAACAGACCCTTAGTGGGAGCGCTTTTGTTGATTCAGCCCAAAGCGAATCTAAGTTTCTATCTCTGTATTTATGGTACAATTTATTCAGTAATCCCAAGCATGAACCTTAGACAAAGATATTCGTCAATACAAACATGTTGTTACAACATAGCACCACTGGGTTTGCATCCACGCGGTGTTGCATGAGACTCATCTCGAATTGCTTGGTTTTGGGGACGCTGCTTCTCGTTACGGCTCGGGTCAAAGCTTTGTAGCGGTTTCAATGGAATCAAATATAGCACGTTATCATTAAAGCTCCCAGGTATTTTATTTTGCCTTGTGGCATGAATGAGGCTTGCCTCCTGTCGGATCATCCGGATGTACTTTTTGAATTCCTTCTTTTTTGTTCTAACAAGAGACTGCGTCCTTCAGTGTGATCACCCATGACACTACACGAGAATTTTCATTGACTGACCAATTTGTAATTTGATTAGAGGGGCGTGTTTTTGGCTGGTAACTTCGATTCTCCCAGGTGTCTCAAAAAAATGAGCTGTCTGAAATATTGCACATTTTGAACACCTTTTGAATACGGTTTTGCTAGATCTGATCCACAGCTGGGCATTCAAATGTTCAGCTTCGCATTGCGCACCAAAGAATGTGTTTAACATGCATTTCGGTTTTACTCCACGGGGGCATTTATATTTACAGCGACGGAAGATTGCGTTACTTTTGTTCACCGTGCACGACAAGATCCCACCTTTTGTATAAAGACACAGCAGGGGTAACTTTTCTTATTTGAGGTTTCTACGCTGCAATTTTGTTGACTGCGTGCAGTTATACAAAAGCCTACCCATAAGATCACAAAGACAAATAGTGTGGTACGTCGGTGCTACCTCCTTGTGATTCGACATCGTTACACAGACCCTAACGAAGCGATTGCAGCAATTTTCATCATCATATTTTGTAGGGAAGTACACATCCTTCACTGAATCTGATTGGCTGATACATTGAGCACCATAGCCTAACCGATGACATTCTTCACCTTATCTGTACTAATGCTACATGACCCACAGAAAATGTGTACCTGCATATCTCTCTGTCTTATCAGAAAAATTTGTTCCATACGAAGGTCATTCGACTTCTGTTTCGACTGGTTTTGGCTTGGGTAGTTATTGAATGGTTGAACGATTGTTAAAGGACCATAACAAACTGTTTTTGAATGATTGTTATCCCTACCCCACATAGAGTTGAGATTCTTCCTATTGTGTATAGCGTCCCGATGATTCCCCCATTTGTTTGTGGTATGCTGGTAAAATTACAAAATATATAATTTTACCATATACCCAGGAAACCTAAGATATCCGTCTGTGTTCACATGCATGAGGTTATTTGGATTGCTCGGCACACATTCGCGTTCGCTTTTCCCTGCGTTGCTGCAGAATCGAATAGGATGCTGTTGGATCTTAGAAATTTCCTAGCTATTCAGAATTGAAAACCCAAAAATTCTCCGCAAGTTTTCTAGCCCAGCCGAAGTAAAATCAAAAGTCCAAGGACCTTGACCGAGAAGAATGTGTTAACCAAACGCTGTACAATCGTCCCAGACCCTCGTTAAATTTATAGGTCACCTAATGGCCGTATTTTAGCGGTCAAGTGAAGGAATGGATAGTTCCAGTAGTCTCGAAATCAACACACAATGGATGTTAATCGATTAACTGCTGAAATAGTGGGATTGTCTTGAAGTTTTCACCTTTTCTTGGATAGATCCCATGCCTAGCCTGGTGTATGTGTGTCATCCTAGCCTTAGCTCAGGCATCTTGTAGAGACTACCTAAATAAACTGTCTTAGCGCTTACCATTGGCGGTTCATATTTACCAGTAGACGCCTCATCTTGGCGACCGCTGTGTGGGAGTTGAGTTACACCCTTTCGCGTGAGTTGGTTCACTGACTCACGGCGCGCTGCTTTCGGAAGCACATTTTGTCCAAGGCTTTGGCTGGGGACCCAACTCGTTCTCCTATTAGGTCTGGACTCCCTAGCAGTATTTCAGTCCAACCCCCAATTATGAATCACGCCAATAATAACAATAATCCCATGCTCCATCGGCCGTCGCGGGTTGACAACAGGAATAGGGTCGCCTTATCCGCTGCGTACACCGAAAATACGCTGCCGCTGATGCCTCTCTTCCCCTGCATATGCGACCGTTTGCGAGTTGAGTTCGTTGCAATCCGCATGCGTAGTTGGATTATCTGAATTATCGGCTGGTTGCGACGAATTCAAAATGTTTTGTGTACCTCTTTAATCCATTGAGCTATACTAGATGGTGCCCCCGGGCTTTTGAGAACTACTCCTACCAGGTTGGTCAGTGGTTAGAGTTCAGACAAACTCAGTCTCCTTGTCATCCAGTTTGGGGGGTTTAAATGGGTTGACGTCCAGTTCTGTAAAACTAAATCATTGTCACCTCCCCTGCCTAGCGGACATGGTTTTGAGCCAAAGGCTTTAGTTGAAGACCCTAATAGTTCTCCGTCTAAGTCTGGGGCGCCGTGACAGTATCTCAACCCACATGATTGATTTAGCGGCGTCCGTATCCGGATTTGCCTGTCACTGTGACCTCTATAGGGACAGTCATAGGACGCCTGCGCCTACAGGGGGACCATGGGTGGCTTGCGCTGCACCATCCATATCCGGTGTAAACCAGAAGGAATAAGACCGAAAGGCATGTGGATGGGAGCCACGTTTCATCAACGGAGCCAGCCCATACTCCTTCAACAAGCAGAACAGAAGCAGTCCGGCGGTGGCTGGACCGTAGACAATTCCACACAGGATGGAACCACTCTTTGAAGCAAGCACCGTCACGAAGACAGTGTAGCCCGTCCCCTCCAGCAACGGCCAACTGTCTCTTGGAGCCAGTATGGACGAGGAAGTGGGTAATAGACAGGTAGGCACCTTGTCAACATTCACATCAGGCGCAGCCACACGGGGGAGCTCAAACAACATCTACTTCTGAAATGCAAGACTACTCATCACGCAAGCAAACGTACCACATATGCCGCCTTATTGGCCTGAATTAGTAAATCGAATGGGAGCGTACGCATCGTGCTTCTATTCCGCGTGCAATAGTGCCTTCTCTCACACCTGAGCAATCGCCCTTTTGAGCAGTCCACGGAATTCGCATCGATCAAATTTGCCTTGGATTCGCAACACCTGAAATCAATATGAGTTTGTCATAAACTCACCTTCTTCATGTTCTGGTAATGTTATTTTCGGTTTGCCCGAGTGACGCATCACTGCACTAAGTTGGCTGTACAAAAGCGGTATGAGTATCCTCGTCGAATTCATTCGGTATACATATATACATGGATTGGCGTCATCCGTGTCCAATGACAGTTCGAATACAACATATGCACATGCGTTTATCCAAACTTAAGTGTGATCTGTCAAAAACTGGCTAGAGACACATTAGACCTCATGATCAATGGTACTACAAACGTGTATGGGTTTCGTTTGGAGGTCAGGCTAACAGCCACTTTCGCAGGTATGACAATAAGTACCCAATACGAACTGTTGATGTTTTCTTCAACATTTAGACGTGACAGCCTTAAATCTTGGGCATCCATATTTGAAGGAACCCGATATAGGAATAGTGAAGCAACTGCTAGGTAGAATGATAAATAAACAAGTGGTACAGTAAATAGTGTGCACTTAGGTGTTGCCCTCTACATGTACAGTCTGGTTTGCGTAGCTGATGGGGGAGATCGCACAGCATGCGAATGCGATGGAGTGTCCACTTCTGGCTCTCCGTGTCGCCGACCGGTCCGGTCATCTGCTGCCCGAGGTACGTGCAGATTCTCAAAGAACGATTGATGCGCAACCTTTGGTATTGACAGTTGACATCAACTAAGTCCCGCTGCCCACTGTCAAACATGCGACTTTCCAAACAGTGTTCGCATTGTTTTGCAAATGTCCAAGTACTCAACCGTTTGTACATACCGATGTGTACTCTGCTGTGGCCATAAGCTATTTGATAACGATCTGCATCGTACGTCTCGGGTGCAGCCATTCGGTGTTCATAAAACGATTGTCGCTATGCGCCGATTCCTTTCCGATGTAATATACTAAGACACTGACGTACCATTCCCATTGGGTTTAACCTTTTACTTAGTCTGTCCAAAAGATTGGCCATGTGCAATGTAACTTCTGGTAGGTGTCTTTGCGCTTCCGCTTTCCATCCGCTTAGTACGTGCGTTTTCATAAGCCCCGGTAAATTCAGTATGGCTGATGAACAACTGGAAATATAACTATGCTCACTCTCATCACTAACCTGCGGAGTGGAACATGAACTGGTGACATCGTGATAATCGCTAGTCGTTTACTTGTCGGAGTTGTTCACTTGCCACAGAATTTCCAGGGAAATTTCTCTTCGAATGCATAGTCCAACGTGGTTACATGAGGGACAATCGTTGAGCATTGTGTTCCAAATGTCAAACTTTACACTTTATGCGTATTGTAAGCGGTCAAGCGCTAGT